TTTCAAGAGCCTAAAGAGGTTGTGGTCTGTAGCTATGAAAGAGATGTTTATAAGCAGCCATTCCCAAATCATAATATAGCTATCATTTTGAAGTTTACCTATGACCCATGATAGAACTGTACCATGTTGTGGCAGTACTGTGTGATGCATATTATATCATATCTGAATAAAAAAAATCTGACCCTTAGTATCCATTCTAACCAAGACAGGACCCGAAGTGCTCTGAGAACCTGTTCTTTGAGAATTCTCTTGAAACTGTGATCTTGAATAAAGGCCTTCCTTTCTCTTATTGAAACAGTATATCCAGCATGAAATGGAGAAGTAAAAGCAGACACTTATCAAAGGATTTTTGCCCTTTCTGACCTCTACTGATCTAGGACAACACACAAACAACCACAAACAGATGTTAACAGTTTAATCCCACCTGTTGTTTGCAACACAAATGGAATATCTGTTGCTTCCAATGACTATCTGCTGCTTGAAGCAGTTGCTTGATCTCTGTAAGACACACACATATATTCAGATGTTGTTCTGGGTCAAAGGCAAGGAAGGGTCATGAGGGATCCAGTCTCTAAGCCCAGGTCATGAGAGAAGCCCAAGGCTTAGCAAGCTTGTTTTAAATTATAAGCAAGCTGAGATAGTGTTAAATAATCTCAAAACATCTTTGGTTACATGGTTAAGTAAAAGTCATTCCTACACTGTGTGTTGTACATATGTGCCAGAGGCTACTGAACATCATGCATGTGCCTAGTTTTGTTTTTTATTTTGATTTTGCCTCTTTTGTTTTTTGTGTGCTTGTTTGTTTACTTGAGACAGGGTAACCCTGACTGCCTCAAACTCAAGTCTGTGCATCAGGATGGCCTCGAAATTAGCAGTCTTCTTGCCTCTGCCCCTTAGTGCTGGGATTATAGGAGTATGCCACCTTGCCTGGCCATGCTTTGTTTATGGCTCTCTATTTAGAGACAGAGCAAGTTCCAGGACAGCTTTCTTTGTGGTAATAAGGACAAATTCACTCCAGTAGATCTAGAGGACACAGAGACCTTGGCCCCTTGTCTATGATATTTTTGTGGTTACCTTTTTAGAAGACCCATGAAGGCTGGTACTTTTTTGCCATAGGCTCACTTGTGCATGGAACAGCACCTGGCACAGACTACTTCTTAATAAATATTTATGTAGTAAGTTAATGAATGACATACTAAAATAGAGTAGTAGGCTAAAACAGTTTGTAATTTAAAACAATATATACTTTGTAAATTAGTAATACAGTTGTTTAAGGTGGTGTGGTGCTTGATAGAGAGCCACAGGCCAGAAGTCAGAATTATTGGGCTCTGGCAACAAGAGTAAACTCAAAGTTCTGAGTGTGCCGACACCATACAAGTCATTGTGCTAGGTCACATTACTTTTAAAACTCTTATTTATTATTTTAATTCTATGTGTCTGAATGTATTGCCTGCATGTATGTAAGTGCACCCATGTTGTGCAGTGCCCACAGAGATCAGAAGAGGGTGTTGAATCTCCTGGAACTAGAGTTACAGACGGTTGTTAGCTGCCATGTAGGTTCTGGAAATTGAACCCGGGTCCTCTGCAAGAGCAGCCAGTGCTCTTAACTGCTGAGCCATTTCTCCAGCCCCTAGGTTACATTATTTAATTATGTAAGTGCACCCATGTTGTGCAGTGCCCACAGAGATCAGAAGAGGGTGTTGAATCTCCTGGAACTAGAGTTACAGACGGTTGTTAGCTGCCATGTAGGTTCTGGAAATTGAACCCGGGTCCTCTGCAAGAGCAGCCAGTGCTCTTAACTGCTGAGCCATTTCTCCAGCCCCTAGGTTACATTATTTAATTCTCACCACATCTCCAAGAGGTGGGACCACTGAAGAAAGTGGGAAAAGTTGAGCAACCCAAACACATCTCAGAGATTAAGATATCTGCCCTTAAACTGAGTCTAATGGAATCAAAGCCAAAGCTCTTGCCTCCAGCCTGCCAAAAGTCCAATCAAAACAGTTTTGTGTGTGACCTGCACAGGCAGGCTCTCAGCCCCGCAAAGTCCAGAATAAATACATATAATGACCTGCAGGGGCAGGCTGGCAGTTGGCACATTTGCTTTAATGCTGTTAGTAACAATGCAACTTATTGGACCTTAATTTTCTTGTTTTTAAAAGGTTGTTTTAAATTATAAGCAAGCTGAGAGTGTTAAATGACCTCAGCTAGCAAGTTATTTTGTTTTTAAAAATAGTTATTATTTATTTATTTTATGTGAATGAGTGTATTGCCTGAATGTAAATGCACCCAAGTCATGCAGTACCCACAGAGCTCAGAAGAAGCCACCAGGTCCTCTGGAACTGGAGTTAAGAATGGTTGTTAGTTGCCATATGGGTGCTGGGGATCGAACACAGGTCCTCTGCAAGAGCAGTCAATGCTTTTAACTGCTGAGCCATCTCGCTAGCCCCTGACTAACCAATCTTTAAGTCTCCTTACAGCTTTAAAACTCAGTGTTTTAAAAGCAGGAAGCTGGGACAGAGGGGTAGAAAAGGTGATTGTTATTGTTAGCCTTTGTTAGTTTCTAAATAAGTATAGAAACACCTTGGAAAAACTTGAAAAAACTATTTTTCGGCATGAAATTGGCTTTATCCCAGCCTCCCTCTACATTGTAGGGAGATTTTTTTCTCTCTTCCCCTTTGACAAAATATTTTATCATAGTCTTGTATAATACAGCATGGATCTTAAGCTATTCCTGTGTGGATTTGCTGATAACAAAGTTGCATTCTAAGAATCTGCATTCCTAAAGTCAATATATATTCCATTTCAGAGACAGGATTCTCCTTGCAAGTCTATCTTACGGCTCGTTAGGAAGCCCTACAAGTGTGTTGTATTGGTACTTTCCTGAGCCTATATGACTAGCAGTCCTCCACCACTGGGTTCCCCACCCCTACTCTGCTGTTCTTCCTTTACTACCCCAGCATAACCCTGTCTTTGGGTCTCTGCCCCAGCTGGCCACACTGTTCTGAACACTTCCCATCCTCTTATGGCAACAAGCGCCTGCCTGCCCTGCTCTCCCACATTCCCTATTTAAGATCACTACCTGCCCCACTTTCCAATTCCCTTACTCTTTTCCACTTTTCTGCCTCTGCTGTTTATTCTGTCATGCTTAGTGTAACACATCATATACTTTAATTATTATCATACACTATTTATAAAAAGACCTGTTAGAATGTAAGCTCTATGAACAAGGAATCTTTTTGTTACTGATAAACCCCAAGTGCCTAGAAGAGTGCCTTACATAGGGAGGCACCCAATAAATTATTATTAATAATTATTTTGGTCTTTCGAGGCTAAATCTCATTTAGCCCAATCTAGCCTACAACTTGCTACGTAGTCAAGGCTGACTCTGAACTGATCATCCTGCCTCCACCTCCCAATTTCTGGAATTACAGATGTGTGCCACCATGCCCAGCCAATGAATTGTTTTTAAATGGAGAAATACTATCATAGTCAGGGAAAAGAGTTAATGTTATGAGACCCAGAAATGTTTCAATAGACTCAGTAGTTCATAAACCTAAATTCTAGTGTTTTCCTTTAGGTATATTCCAAGTCAATAGGGTTAACATTTTATTCATTGTTTACCCAAAGAAATGATGGTGTCCAGCCTAAAACTGAGGTAGAGTTTTATTTCGTATGTTCAGAGAGGCTTCGGTCATAAAAACTCCAGACGTGATTATAAGCTGTGGATAACTTTTATATAAATTCTTAGACTGAAAACAAAACATTGAAAAGTAGTGATTCCTGAAATAAATGCTTTGAGAAAACATTTCCTTGATGTTACAGCAAAGATGTTGGAGGAATCCAAAGAAACCATGATAGTGGGGAACTCTACGATGAAGATAAATGGGATTTATTTAACAGCATCAAATACCACTGGCCACTTAAAGAATCATCCTCCCCAACTTACTTATGATGGAGACTTCAGAGAAACAAAAGAGCAAGAAATGTCCAAAGAAACAGCATCCCCACCGTCTCATCTCAGAAGTGGAGGGTCAGTATTTCCAGTTTTGAATTTCTGGGTCAGGGTAACTGTTATCGTATACTCTGTCTTATGTAGAAGATTGGTTTGTTCTTGCCCTTTTGTTTAAACATGTTTTTAAAGCTAATGCATGATAGGAAGGAAATTTCTCATGTTGAATAGAAGTTCCGTTATTTCCTTTTTAATCCTTAAGAGCCCTGTTATGCATAATTGCTAGAATGCTGTGCCATAGAACTGTCAGGTAAAGGTGAGGTTGGCTGATTCCAGCCAGCTAGAGTAATTGATGAGTGAGCATTTTCTTTGTGAATTATATGGGATTCTTGCCTGACTGGAATCTCTCATGACCTCCCTTTGGCTTAGTCCACTGCTGGAAACACAGGAATGGGCACTTATTCTCCAGTAGAAATTTGGGTTGAATATTTATTGTCTACAACAGGAGCATCCTGTGGGTTTTGGTTATCTGTACTAGCTCTGTATTAACCTCTCATATGCAAATGATTGGGAATTACTTTATTTCATGCCCTATTCTTAGACAGGGGTTCCTGGAAGAGGCCTTTTCCTACCACATTGAGGGTTTATGGAGAAAGAAGCATTCTCTGTGTAGACCATGTTTTTTCTTGTCCGTGGGCTTTACTAAAAGCCTTGAAACCATTAGAGGCTGAAGCAGTGGGTCGAACAGAGAGAACAGACTGTGTTTCCCAGTAGTGATGCTAAGATAAGCAGAAGACTTTGGACAGGGCAGGGTCACGCAGCTAAAGATATTTTTTTCTAGAACTTTCCATTGGGTCATCATGGACAACTGCCCAGTTCAAATTTGTTCAACAAAATCAAATTCCATGGGCCATTTTAGGACCCAAGCCCTTGTTGCTCTCACTTTAGATTTTGGGTCTGACTTTGGCTCGTCCACACAAACCACTAACCCCCCCCACCCCTCCACCCCAAGTGGCTGCCTGGCATCTTGTTTGACTGAGTTGACCTTGTCTGCTGAAAACCTAAAGAGTGCCACACACAGAATTTATTATATTAGGCAACCTAGTAGACCTTGTGATGCTGCTTTGCATTCAGAACATTTTTCAACTGAAGGGAAAAATGAAATGTCTCCTTAAGTAGAAGAGAACAACTTCAAATTGGGACTCTGGGAGTTGAGCACAAAACATCAAACAGGCAGACAGACCTTTTCCAGTTGGTGATTAAGAATAGGTTGTGGACTTCAGTGCTTCAGCATGAAAGGCGGCCGGGGAACTTGTGCCCCTTTCAATGCCCAAGTAAAAAGGGAGTGTTTGTCCTGCTTCACCCACCCTTGCAGTAATGCAAGTTGACGAGGGAAAAACAGATGAGCACTGCTTCGCTTGTTTATTTATTTTTGCAAGCCTCACGTGTTGTGGAACAAGCTGACAGACATGCCAGAGTTCATTATGCCTTCTTCTTTGTGGGACACCAGGGGCATTTTCAGTGACATATTTTATCCCACAACAGCAGAGTACAGACCCATTAGGGGTTGGAAGCGTTTCTTCTTGACCTTCCAAAATTCTGAGGCATTGGCAGCTGCGCTAATTGTTTTCCTTTTGTCTCATGTAATGATTGTGTTGAGTTTGTGAGTTTGAGATGCACCCTGGAGAGTTTAACTCTCAGTAGCATTTCTTCTCTGTGAATCAGCCTCTACCTCCCTCTCATCACTGGGTGGAATTTTGCTGAAGTAAAGCCAACAAAAAGTTTATATAGTAGGATTAAAACAAACGAGAGAATGGAAACTCTTAGCAATTCTCATTAATTACGTTTGTGAAGCAGTCAGGGACACTCGGTAATTGTTTCTTGTAAACATTTAAGTGATTGTAATTCCAAGAAATGGTCTTCCCGAGGCAGTGAAGTATTCCCACTTTTGATATGTGCACCCTCCTCTCAATTAGAATTTTCCATCTTGAGACTGTCAAGTGGAAAATGCGGATTCCTGTCAGTGAGCTGGGCTGACAGGAGAAGACGGGCAGGGGAGTGGAGTAAGGCTGGGGTGAGGAGTGGGAACAGATAGCAAAAAAGAGCAAGCTTGCTCCCTGGTGGGGTCCTTTGAGCTGCTTTGCTTTTTGTGTTGAGTGCTTCTCTGGCACAGGAGAGGAAAGAGCAGTTTATTTCAATTGAACCTGCATTGATTTCTATATCTTTAATTTAAAATATGGGTAATTCAGGCAAAGGATGCCCTGGAGTTTAACTTTATGCTTATTATGATGGAAAAAAAGATTTGCTAAGCAAGGAAGCATTGCAAACAGGATGATGTAACTTTCCAAAAGAGAAGACACTCCCAAGTACTTAGGGAGCTGTCCTCCTCGATCTGTGTGCCAGTTATGACAATCTCCGTGTGTCTATTAGAAATGGGTTTGAGGTTTAGAAGCCCTGTTCCTCACCACACTCTATTACCATTTATTCCCTATTACCACATGGATTGAAAACAGTAGAGCTGCCATTTAGTGTATCTCCATCCATCCATCTGATGGTCCAGTTGTTAGAACAGCAATAAAGACCCATTAAGAAAATGACTTCTGGTCAAGAGAATAGACTCTCTGACCTGGTGGAGGCCAATCCAGTTGGGTCAGGTCAGTCACTTGGCCAAGGGCCCACCCCTAGGAAGGCAGGCTCACCTTAAACTACGCAGAAGAGATAGGCATAACAATTAATGAGATACTGTACTCCTGCCTGAATCCCACCCTAGCACAGAAGCTTACCAGACCACAGGTGTACCGCTTCTAAATTCTTCAGAAAAGCACACCACCTCCTTGTCTTCTTTTAGTCTCTTTTCTGTGTGTGCTTTCCCTAACGTTTGGGTTTTCCCAACATGTTAGATTTCCTTACTCTTTCTCTAAAACTCCCCTCCCTGCCATGTGCCTGCTAGTCTACCATGTGTCTGACCCCCGTGCTGGCTTAAGTGGCCTGGCCTTTCCCCTTTTCTCCTCCATTCCCCTCCCCCAAGAAGCTGCTGAGATTTACAGCTTGTCTGCTTGGATTGGGGGTGGGAGCTAAACTCTAATAAAATTGCCCTCAAGTTTCCATTGAATCTATTCTTGAATTTTTAAAATTAATAATACTAAGAACCCCAAGAGGGGACCCCTATTTCTCCTGGCTTTGTAAGTGCTGTTTACATTGTCATGGTTTAGAAATGTGGTCCGGAGGGGAGAGCAGGGAATGGATTATGGTGGGCTGTTCAGACTGTTTGCTGTGAGCTAGAATCTTTGGAGTCAGTTTCCAGTGTCTCTCAGCCACTTGGTTTAGCTGTGTGCCCTCAGCAAGTCTCCTAACACTCTCAAGGGCTCCCTCTTCTAGCTTATAAAATGGAAATGACTGCCCCTCCTCCCCCTTCTCTTGTAGCCCCCATTGTAGGTTGTGGAGTGGTCATTAAGGCTTGAAAGCCTTTCTTACAAGGTCTCAAGGACCTTTTGTGTGGCTAAAATAAAAAATAAGAAGCAATGTGGTGGTACACACGTGCAATATCACCACAGGGAGGGAGAAGCAGGAGGATCAGGAGTCCAAGGTCAGCCTCTCTATATAGTGAGTTGGAGGTCATCCTGGGCTACATAAGAACCTGTCTCAAAAAGTAATAAAAGAGAGAAAGGAGGGAAGGAAGGAAGGAAGGAGGGAGGGAAGGAAGGAAGGAAGGAAGGAAGGAGGGAGGAAGGGAAGGAAGGAAGGAGGGAAGGAAGGAAGGAAGGAGGGAAGGAAGGAGGGAAGGAAGGACAGAAGGAAAGAAGGAAGAAGGAGGGAGGGAGGGAGAGAAGGAAGGAAGGAAGGAGGAAGGAAAGAAGGAGGAAAGGAAGGAAGGAAGGAAAGAGGAAGGACAGAAGGAAGGAAGGAAGGGAGAAAGAGCTCTTGGTTAAAGAAGCAAAAGCATGCTTCCATAAAAAAAGAAAAGAAAAAGAAGGCAGCAAAGATTTCAAAAAAGAAATGTCAGAGAAACAGAAAGAAATAAATGATCTCTAGACCAAACTATTAAGCATGGGTCAGACTTTAGCTCACGTTGTTTAGTAAATGCTCAGGCTGTGTGTGGATGAACTCTGACCATATGCCCTCTTCCTGCCTTCCCACGGCTGACTGGCAGAGTCCTCCAGTGCCCACCTTTCGCAGTTGGTTCAGAAATGGGCACACAGTCCTAGCCAGCCTGTCAAGCTCCCTGCACTTCGCCCAGGCCTTTGAGGAAAGTGGCTTTTCCCCAGGCCCTCATGCTGGGAAGATGATAGGCTCTTAAAGCTAACAGTGGCCCCTTTCACTACCTAGTAGACAGACTCTGAGAGAGAAGTGGTACATAAGCAGCCGAGGGTGAAGACAGCAGTCACGTACAAGGGTGATCGTGAAACTCCCAAATCCAGTTGTGCTTGAAACCATGATATCAGCCAAGGTGTTTGTTCTCTCTCTCTCTCTCTCTCTCTCTCTCTCTCTCTCTCTCCTCTCTCATCTTCCTTATTTTCTTTGGGCTTGGTGAGTGACAAGGGCGGTTTATATATTTCAGATTAGGTTTTTACATGGAATGTTGCAGTCAAAAAGTCTAATTTTCCAGACGCTGTGAAATGTGGATGAAAATAAAAGGTAATTTGAGAGTTGATGCACACCCCCTCAGACTTTGAGCAAGTAGCAGATTTCACTAAACAATCTCCTTCTTCAGCACGTGGCTGGTAATGGGAGAGATGCAATCTAAGGATGTGGGCGGGCCACCAGAGAAGAGAGAAAACCCTATGGGAGACTCCATGCAAGACACAGATCTTGAAATGACTGGGGAGGAGGGGACCTGAGGGTGACATGCCTGTGAGCTGAGAGAGAGAGAGAGAGAGAGAGAGAGAGAGAGAGAGAGAGAGAGAGAAGAGAAGAGGAGAGGAGAGAGGAGAGAGAGAGGAGAGAGGGAGAGGAGAGAGAGGAGGGGGGAGAGAGAGAGGAGAGAGGAGAGAGAGAGGAGAGCGAGAGAAGAGAGAGGAGAGAGGAGAGAGGGAGGGAGGGAAGAAAGAGAGAGAGGAGAGCGAGAAGAGAGAGAAATTGCA